GCCCGAGCGGGGCCGGGGAGCCGCTGCTCCTCCGCCCCACCGGCTTCCGCTTCATCCCGTCTTTTTCTTTTTTTTTTTGCGTTCCAGAAAAGCAAACGTGGTCCTGGAAACCAGACAACTGGCCATGAAGATCTTCGAAGATTACACGGTTTCCTGGTACTGGATAATCATGTGAGCAGGGGCCGAGCGGCGCGCGAGGGCCGACGCCGTGCCGCGCTCAAACGTGGGGCAAAACTCACGAATTCCCAACATTTTATCTTTTCTCCTCTCCCCCCGCACCCCACACCCCCCCCGGACTTTGAGTAATTTTAATTCAAACAAAACGAGAGAGGGCGGAGGGTGTTGTGGGGCGACTTTACTGGGATGCTGCTCGCGCTCCGTCCCCTCCGCCGTCCCCGATTGCCCTTCCGAAGGCTGCCCCGTGGTGAAAGCGTGGAAAAGTTGGACCGGATGCTCTCCAGAGGTCCCTTCCAACCCGGAGCGTTCTGTGTGATTCCGTGAAAGGGGAGAGGACAAGCCTGAGCCTGGTTTTGACGCCTCGCTGCCTTCCTCCCCGCAGAGGTCTCGTCATCGCCATGGTGGCTAGCTTGATCTTCATCGTCCTGCTCCGCTTCCTGGCCGGGATCATGGTCTGGGTGATGATCGTGATGGTGATCCTGGTGCTGGGTTACGGTGAGCCAGTGCTCGGGGGTTTCGCCGTGGCTTTCCCCCTTTTCCTTTCCCCATCCGAAGCGGGATTTGCGCGAAGGAAGTTCGTACGCGGCGTCCTTCCGGGTGTCTCCTCCCTCGGCGTCGGCGGGGTCGAGCGGAGGTTATCGGCATCTCAGTCTCCGCTTTTCTGTGCAAAACACGACGATTTTCTGCTTTTCGCCGCAGGAATCTTCCACTGTTACATGGAATATGCAAAACTGAAAGGGGAAGCGGGTTCGGACGTATCCCTGAAGGACCTGGGATTTCAGACCGACCTGCGCGTCTACCTCCACCTGCGGCAGACCTGGCTGGCGTTCAGTAAGTCTCCGTCCTCCCCCGGATGCGGGATGGGCCCGGGGGGACGTGCCCCAGCGCCGCTGCCTTTGAGGGACGGGGTTTGGGAAGGGGCAGCAGCGAGGTTTGGGGTCTTCTCGGTCTCTTCGTGGCCCTTTGCAAAGGGTTGAGCTGAGGAGGGCGGCTTTGCTCGGTGCCGCCTCTGCCACGGGACTGAGCTTCTGGACGTGGTGGCTTTTCCACGTGAACCGCGGCGTTGGACGTCCCTCGAGGGGCGTTGGGTGCCGCCGTGGAGCTGCTGGGGAAGGCAAAGGCCACCCGAAGGCGGCCATGGGGCGCCATCTGTGCCCTGGCGCTGCCCGGGGCTCCCCTTCTCCTCCCAGTGATCATCCTGTGCGTCGTGGAGGTGGTGATCATACTGCTGCTCGTCTTCCTCCGCAAGAGGATCCTCATCGCCATCGCGCTCATCAAGGAGGCCAGCAGGTCCGGCTGTCCCCCTCTCCCCAGGCAGAGGTGGCCGTCGTCGCCCGTCGCGGTGGGAGGACTCGGGGCTCCGGCCGCTGAGGTCCTCCCAGTGCCGCGAGGGTTTTAACCGGCGTTTAACCACCTTCTCGGCAGGGCTGTTGGTCACGTCATGATGTCGCTGCTGTTCCCCTTGTGCACCTTCTTCCTGCTGTGTCTCTGCATCGCCTACTGGGCCAGCACCGCCGTGTATCCTTTCCTCTTCTTCTGCCTCTTCCTCTTTCCTCCCGGGGAAGGAAGCTCCTCAGGAATCAAAGGTCTTCCAGGGCGCTGAGCATCTTACAGGGTTAGCGACGCATCCGGTTGCAAAACCGCCAGCTTCGGTTTCTTAAGTTTGACTTGAAATAACACCCAAGGTAGAAGAGCGATGGCAGGAGAGCAAAACTGAGTTAGATACGCCGAGGATTCGGGTTTGGGGTTGCTTTGCAAAACCTCCTTAACCGTTGCTCTGCAGTTTCCTCTCCACCTCCAACGAGGCGGTCTATAAGGTGTTTAACGAGACAGCGTGCCAGTTTTCTGGGCAGACCTGCAAACCGGAGGTGAGGATGTTGGGAAGCTCACGGGAACGCTAGGCTTTGTCTGTTGGAGACTCGGTAGTTTATTGCATGCAAAATACTCCGCTGGCTATTGGAGCCCGCAAACCCTTCCAAGTCAAATTCCGCCTTTCTGAACTCGTTTACGTCATGTCGTTATTTTTCTTCACGCTACAGCGTGCGCAAAGCTGACTTTTCGGTCTGAGCAAGCGCTACCGGCTGAAAAATGAAACGGGATAATGTCTTCTGGAAGTCGGGATTGCTTTGGGTTGAGGGAACGATGCTGTCGATCCGCCCTGCGGCACATCTTCAGCCGCCGCAGTGCGTGAGCGTCTGCTGTCCTCTCCAGACCTTCAACACCACCAACGTCACCAAGCTGTGCCCCGACGCCCAGTGCCTCTTCGCGTTCTACGGGGGCGAGACGGCGTACCACAAGTACCTCATCGTCCTCCAGTTCTTCAACGTCTTCATGTTCTTCTGGCTCGCCAACTTCGTCATCGCGCTGGGCCAGGTGACGCTGGCGGGGGCCTTCGCGTCGTACTACTGGGCCTTCAAGAAACCCGATGACATGCCTGCCTTCCCCCTCTTCTCCGCCTTCGGCCGCGCGCTCCGGTACGTCCCTCTGGAGGAGGACTTGAGAGCTTCTTGAGGTTGTTCCCTTCTAACCGGAGCGATCTTTCCCAGGTACCACACCGGCTCGCTCGCCTTCGGCTCCCTCATCCTCGCCATCGTCCAAGTCATCAGGGTCATCCTGGAGTATCTGGACCACAGGTTGAAAGGTACCGAAGCTGAAATGGCAAACGAGTAGAGACGAACGAGGTTGGCTTCTCCTGCGTTCCCTGGAGCCAGAGCTTGTGGCTGACCTCCAGGGGAATAATTCCAGTATTTCGATAGAGAATTGAGATTTTCCTTTTAGCACCCCGTAGTTGTCTCTTCCTCCAAGAGACGGCGGGAGCCGAGGGACGCGCCGTGGCTGCCGGGTTAAGTCAACCAGTGGTGGGTGTCTGTACGGGCACCAGGGACGTCCGCGTCCGCCCGTACGACTCTGTTGATGGCGGAATGCAAACAGGGAGGAGCAGCGGTGTGGGAAGAGCGCGCGAAGCTCATCCCGCTGTCCGCGGCGGTCTCGGCCGCGCGGGGGGAGGCTGAGAACAGGGCGTAGCGGGGGGAGGCTGCGACGGCGCGGCCGGACGTCTCGTTAGGGACCTTGAAGAAGTTGCTTCGGTAAGAAAAGGTGTCTCTCGCTTCGGCCGCTCACCCTCCGCCGTGGCGTTCCTCCAGCTGCAGATAATAAGTTTGCCAAGTTCCTCCTGAGCTGCCTGAAGTGCTGCTTCTGGTGCCTGGAAAAATTCCTCAAATTCCTCAACAGAAACGCGTACATCATGGTAAGAGTCACGCAGCGTTAACGCCCAAAGGGTCCTGACTACGGTGGGGGGGGTCTCCGCACTCTGGGAGCTCTCTCTGGGTGGCCGTTGAGAAGCCCGTCCCCCGACGTGACGGGAAAACGAAGCTTTTCAGCCTTTCCCAGTTGTTTCACTGGAAAACCTCGACCTCAGCCGTGTCGCTTTGGCTTTGTCTCAGAGAGAAACGGGGTTGGGGGGGGGTTCAGCTCTTGGTGTCCCCCACGCCTGACCTGTCGGCGGATGAAGAAGAGCTTCCAGGGTGGGATTTATCTGAGTTTTGCGGAAAGACGGGCTGACTCGCGCCCTCCTCTTAGCGGTGAATTCAGTGCGGCTCCGTTTTTCCCTTCTCTGCCCTTTTTTTCCGGGACCCGCTCTAGATCGCCGTCTAAGGCACCAACTTCTGCACCGCCGTCAGCAAATTTTCTGCTGATGAGGAACATCATTAGGTGAGACCCCGGTGGGTGCGAGGGCTCTGCTCTCCACAGCAGACTTGGTGATTTCCAAGTCCCCCTCGCTGCCGACGACCAGCCCCGGTGCTCCAGCCTTGTTTTCAGGCTTTCCCGGTGGTTTATGCCACGTTTGCGACGCATGTCCGCGTCGGCCGCCTCCTCCCACGCTTCCTTCTGAAGCCGGGGTGGGGAGCGGATGCGGATGCTCATCTCTCTCTCGTTTCCAGGGTGGCCGTTCTAGATAAAGTCACGGATTTCCTCTTCTTCCTCGGGAAACTCCTCATCGTGGGAAGCGTGGGTAAGCGCCGGGGACTGGCGGGTTCTCCTCGGGGCGTACGGCTACTGGAGGTTTTCGTAGCCGGTTACGCCTCCCCGAAACCTCCGCTCTCTTCACTCTTGCCATGAAAACGTTCCTTTCCATCCCGTTTTACATCTTCCCTGCACCCGTTTGCGGCCTTTCTTCTGCCCGGCGTCCCACAGCCATTGCCATCCTTTGCTTTTCCAGGAATCCTTGCCTTCTTTTTCTTCACCCAGCGGATAAAGCTGGTGCAAGACACAGCGCCGCCCCTGAATTACTACTGGGTCCCTATTCTGGTGAGCTGCTCTCTCGTCTTTTGGACAATTTAGAAGCGATAGAAAGAGATCCTTAACGCCAATGCCTAAAAAACGCCCCTCTGCTCACTGCTTCTGAAGGACCTTCTTTGTCGGAGGTGTTTTCTCCGTCCCCGTCGAAATAAGCCCTTTGTTTCGGCCGGCCGCGAAGAGGCGTCTCGCCCTTCCCGTGCTGCCCAGATTGGCCTCCGTCCACCGTTGTCCCCGAGGCCTTTTGTCCTGCATCAGGCTGGTCCGAACAGTCCTGCCCTGTTCGTTTCTCCTCCTTTACCCTGGGGAATTTGGGATTCAGCAGGTTTCCTCCTCCCGGTCGAGGGCCCGGAGCTTTGCGCTCTTTGCAAGATGCCGGGTCGTGGCGTGACCGCACAATTTCTCTTTCAGACGGTGATCGTGGGCTCCTACCTCATCGCCCACGGGTTCTTCAGCGTCTACGGCATGTGCGTGGACACCCTCTTCCTCTGCTTCTGTAAGTGGCTGCCTCAGAGGGTCCGTCTCCCACTGGGCAGGAGTTTGTGATAGCAAAACCTCCCTCCCCTTGGGGCTGAACCTCAGACTTGGCCACATTTGGGGTTGCTCCACATTCCCGGGGCCTCTCTGGGTGGTTTTTCTCCCGCTTTATTCCTTTACCAACTCCTACCCGCGTTCTTCCCAGCTTCTGCTTCCCCCCTGCCTGCTAGCGACGGAAACCCACAGCCTGTCTGTGGGTCTCTCTTGGTCTTTCTGTTTTGGTGCTTTGGTCTTGGTGGGACCTAACTGCAACTAACTTCAATTTTCCCTTTTTTTTTTTTTCTCTTTTTTCTTCTTTTTTCCCCCCCGCCTCTCTCTCCCTCCTGTCTCTCTTCATGTGTTCTCCATCCTTCATCTCCGCCCTGTCTTCTCCCCGGCTCTTCCGCTATTTTTCCACTCTTCCCCCGTCACGGCCGCTTCTTCCCGGGGTTGCGAAAAAGGTGAAGATCTGGAGAGGAACGATGGATCTCCCGAGAGGCCTTACTACATGTTTGAGCGGAGCGAGATCCTGCGGAAGGGCAACCTAGAGCCTTCCAAAAGCGCCGATAGCCAAGGCTAGGGGCCGGCCCCGGGAGGAAGGCTGCGTGCCGGGGGGAGCCGCAGGACTCTCTCGGCTCCCCCTAACCCAAGCGGCGTTCTCCTAAGCCCACGGGGGCGGCAGCAAATCTTCCCCCTGGATGTCCTTCAAAGCCTTGAGGGTAGAGGGGGTGGCGATCCCTCAGTGCCCGGTGCTGTCTCAAATCTACCTTCCTGCCCAATAACGAGCGTTCTTCTATCGAGAGAACGAACCTAGAGTTAATCTGAGGTCCCACGTGTGCCGGTAGCGCCCGGCGAGGAGCGCTGCGCTCCGGCGAGCGGCTGGGAACCGGCTGGGTGCCGATTTAGAGTTGAGTTTCGCGTCGAAGCGGGAGAGCTTTGTTCCGAACCATCAGCTGCGGAAAGGACGGGAGAAGTGCCCTCTTCGCAGGAGGAGGGCGGTTTTTGGGCCGGGCCGAGCGGGTTCGACAGGCGGAAAACTGGTCTCTCCGCGCTTTCCTCTCTGTCCTGCCCCCAGCAAAGAGCGGCAGAGCCTTTTCTCGCCCACTCTTTCTATGCAAAACCGGCTTGGCGCACTTCAAAAGATTTCTTGGCGAGGCCGCAGGTCTTTTGCTTTTAAGTCTGTTTGCCTCAGCGGCGCCGCCTTTGTCACAGCGCGGAGCTCACCCTTTTTGCAGCCGAAAACTCCCTTTCCTCCCGCGGTCGGTTCAGGGAAGCCGAAAAGAGGTGTCGCGGGTTGCGAGCCGTTAAAACTCGGAGGGTTTTTACGCGCGGCATCCTTCGTTTGACATGGTTTCTCTTGCTGGTGGCGCAGAGGTTGAACGGCTGCAGGGAGGTGGTGGAGCTGCTTTTTCCCCTCCCCGGGGTGGTTGAGTTGATGGTTTGGCTTCTGCCCGGTCGGGGCTCCTTTGGGTGAAGGAGTTGGAGCCGTAACGAGTTTCGGCGCTAACGCAGAGCGTAGGTGGAGGCGCGTAGAGATCCGCAAGCCGGGGTGGTTGTGGGAGGGCAGACGGAGCCGGCGCGGAAGGCGAGTCGCCAGGTTGGCTCTGGCGACTCCGCATCGCGGCGGGGCCGTCAGGGGAAGGCGATGTCCGGAGGAGCGGCGTGGGCATATCCCGGCCGGGCCGGGAGGATGCGGGGAAACGGGGCGTTGCGCTGGCGGGTGTTACGCCGGGGACGTATCGTGGCATCGCTACGGTTAGAGAAATCAGACCCCAAAAAAACCTCCTAAGTTTGACCGGGAGGCAGCCGGTGAGGGCTCCAGCCCCTCCAGAGACGGCAGCCAAACACAGGCTGGATGCTCCCCTTGTTTTCTCCTCTTGACAGTCCAGAAACGACCGAGATATTGTTTTTTTTAAAAAAAAAGCCACTCTGGTTGCAGGCAGCCGGGGCGATCGCGGGCGGCTCTCCCGTTACACACACCCACGCGGACAGAGCGCCCCGTCTTTCGAGTCGTGCCCTCTCGGGACAAAGCCATAGTGTTAACGCTCGAATTTTCATCGCAGAGAAAGGCTGAAATCCCTCTCAAAACATCCCAGGGCGCTTTCGCTCCGCTCCAAAGCCGGCGCTTTGCGGGTTTGGTTGGTATTTGGTTTTGGGGTGGTTTTTTTGTTTGGGTTTTTTGGTTTTTTTTTCCTCTTTCGGTGGCTGTGATTTTCCTCCCACTTGTTGTTGGCGCAGCTGCTCGGCTTTGAAGAGCGAGAGGCCGAGCCGCGTGTTCGGCGCTGGGAATACACCTAATTATTATGTATGCGCGGCGTGTCGACGAGGGCGAGCAGCGCCAAGCGAACCCCGGGCGGAATTGCTTCGCGCTGGCGTCATGATTTCGGCTGCGCAAAGGGAGAGCGGCGGCTCCGTAGAGGAGGAGAACCGCGCTCCCTCCCGGCAGAGCTCGAGGTCGCGCCGGAGACCTCTTTTCTTACGGCACCGTTAAACTTCCCCCCCACCGCCTCCCTGGAAAAAAAAAACCCAACAAAACCACACCAAACCACCAACACCCAAACCTCTGGGTTGGTTTTTTTTTTTTCTAAGGCACTTAGAAGGGACGCGGGGAGAAAACACCCCCCGCCCGCGGCGAGGCGAAAGGCTTTTCTTTCTATGGAAGATAACGCCGGGACGAGGGGGACGAGCGCTCCTCCGGCCCCTCTCTGCCTTTCCGCCCCTCGCTGCCTCCCACCGCGCCGACCCCTCTCTCTGTCCCCCCCTCACCGCCGCGTGGGGTTTGGGGGGGGGTTTCTCTTTGCAGTGGAAGACCTGGAGCGTAACGACGGTTCGGCCGAAAAGCCGTATTTTATGTCGCCCGACCTGAAAAAGCTGCTGAAGAAGACGAACAAAGGTCAGCCGGACACCTAGAACCCGTTCCTCGGCCTTTCCGCGCCTCCTCTTCCCGTTCCCGCCTCGGGAGGAGAGCTGCAGGATAACGCCCGGCGCTCAGCATCCTTCATCCCACGCGGAAATCTCGTTAAAGAACCCGAACCGTCGTCTCCTTTACCCCTGCGGCGGGCAAGCGGCAGAAGGGGGGGGGTCGGGAAAAGAAAGGAATGGGGTATTGTTAATGAATCAGCCTTAAAACGTCGGGGTTTTGGAATTTTTCCTTTTGTTTTGTTTTGTTTTTTTTTTTTTTTTTTTTTCCCCCGCGGGGAAAAAAAGGGAAAAACCCCCCCCCCCCCCCCCCAAAAAAAATTTAATTGCAATTGTTGATTCCTTCCCCGGAGAGCCCAAACTGTGCTGAAATCACCTCGCTTCTCTCGCCACCCTTCGGAGACACCTCAGGGCCCGGCTTTGGGGTTGCGCTGAGCACGCGTAGACGATTAATTCTTTTAGGGAAATGCCAATTAGCGTTTCTTATAGCCACGGGGTGAAGGTGGAGGGAAACGAGGGGTTAACGAGCAGGGCTGGGGCCTCCCCCACGGACAGACGGACGCTCGGTACAGTTATTGCATCTTTCTCCAAGGACTCACAGCTTCGGCTGATTCCTCCCCCCCCAAAAAAAACCCTGCAGTAGATATATATATATATATTAAAAAAATCATTTACAGCAAAGCCTTCCCTAACCGTCGAACAAAACGCTTTGCCTGCGGGAGGAACGCCTGCGGGCGCAGTGAAGGAGTAATGTGTGTATATATATATATATATAAAATTATTTTTTTTAGGCTAATATTAGGTAATTTTAAGCAAACCAAATGACAAACAACAGGTTGCCTTACCTCCGGAGACGCTGCCGCGGCGCCCGGATTTGTAGCTGACCGCTACTTCTGACGGGAAGGTCCCAAACCTTCAGCAGCTCCTGCCGGGAGGAATCAGGGAGGTTTTTGAGAAATAGATCAAAGAGGGGTTAAATATCACCCAAAGGCAAAAACCCAAACCCCCAAACCCGACAAAATTAACCCCCCTCCTCTTCCGCGCGCGGCCGCTGCAGTGTCCTTCGAGCAGCAGGAGGTTCGCCCAGGCGGAGCCCCCACCCCAAATTGTACTATTTTTTTATTTTTTTCTTATGGTTTAATTTGCTGCGGACTGAACGCACTGAGGCTTTGCCGGAGAAGCCGCCGGCTCCCAAAGCGCACCGGGGGGAGGTCGGCGGCACCCGGCGCCTCCCTGCCCTCAAACCCCTCTTCACTGCAGACGTTTGTGCTTCATTTGTGCGAAAGGATATATATTTTGCTTCTTTTATACGCATTTCTTGGTACTCTTTCGATCCCTTTTGTAAGATAACACGGAGTGTTTTCTATCTGGATTATTAAACGGTTTGGGGCTTTTGTATATTTTGCTTTTACCAGTTGTTTCGGGCCCGGGGCTGTTATTTCCGCCTCTCCCGGGACTATTTTTGGGACAGATTTTGCAATCCCGACCCGGCGGCACGCCGCGACCTCACCGCCACGCCGGCCCCGGGGCGGCGCGGCACCCGAAATCCTCGCTGGCCTCCAGGGATCCCACGCCCTTCGCCTCTCTAAAAGCGCCTTTTTCTTTTTTTTTTTTTTGCCTCACATCTGGATGCGGCCGCTCCGGCGCTGGGGGG